TGTAAACTCATTCAATTTCCGTCGTGGCATGCGCAATGCAGTTTTCAACGAGGTACGGCGTTGGCAGCGCCGTGGTTTTGAAGTGCTGTGCGCGACGTCACGGATAAGATTCTCACTCATTGCGCAAAATTTTGATCGGAGATGAATGAAAAAAAAAAGATGAAACACTTCTTGCCATGCGTTAGGCTGAGGTTAACATATCCTCGTGAAAATTGAAGTGAAATTCTGCCGCTGCGTTTCTCAATAACCCAGTGAAAATACAAGTGGTGCAAAATGCGACAACTTAATAATATAGAATATTATCTGGCACAGTTAGCTTGCTGCATTTGACACCTATAACGTGTTTTCGTACCTATATTGCTCCTTCCTTCTAATGCGCATTGTCACTTGATAAGATCGAGCCGTGAAAGTACAAAGTAGATAAGAAACGAAAATCTCCACTGGTTCCAATAACGCGTATCAGGTATCCGATAATACGAGTTATAGCCGTGATGAAGCGTATATGCAGATTCCGCAACGCTACAACATGCTTCTATCTAGCTCGCGCGTAGTCGTATATATCACCCGGAGATCATGCACTTTCATTTTTCTGCACACCGCGCATAAGCTGAGATGTACCCAGTCGCAGATGATCGCGTCAAATTGAACAATCTTCATGAACCACTCTAAAGAGCCCGCGAGGGCTGATTAAATACAGTCTCATTTCTCCAAGATCTCTAGATCGGGGAATAGATCTGTACGGCACTGTCCAATAACATGTCCCGCAGCACACACGAGTGTCATTAGGCCACCACCGTCCCCTACAAACACACGTACACAAAGCAAACACGTCCGTGGTCCCGGCAATGCTACCTCCTTCGGCGAATCTTGTTTCCAGCGAGCGGGGCGAAACGTGTTTCTCATCTCGCCGCTGGCGCCGACCACCCAAGCTTTGTCGAACGGCGATAGCGGTCTAGGCGCCTCCGAGGGGCGATACCTGGACATCTGGTACTGATTTGAGCGGCGGCGGCTCATCAGTACGACACGCACAGCGTGGTGGTCTGACGCCCGTAATCGGCGGAAGCTCGGCATTGTGGCTTTCACCAAGGCACGAAGACGCCACGTGTCGCATCTCTGCGCGGGACCCGAAGGACAGCGGTGCTCCGTAGAGTAATTTCAGCCGGGCAGCGCCCAACACGTGGAAACGGCAGAGCGTCTTGGCGCTTCTCCTTATCTCCACAAAACGAGGCGGCCGCGTTTCTTCCGTTCTCGCGGGCCGCAGCAAAGGGTTGGCCCGCCAAACGCAACAATGCAGACAAGTGAACACACCACCGGATGCGTCAACGGGTGTCTCTTTGAATGCGTGATAAAAAAGTAAAAGTTAAGTGTTCGGCGCAGCCTAAAGCTGCATCAAGTACGTGAAATACGATTCCAGGGTAAAATTGTTTGTGTTTAGGCACAATCAGTCTACCTGCGGGTATTTCCTGTCCTACCAGTAGATTGACCACACATTAGACGGGAACAGAGTTATCCATAGGCCTGGTTGCCGATCGACAAAGCGTGTCACCCATCGCCAGTCGACATGACTGGCGTCTCAACGACCGGCGAAAAAATAAGGAACACCTGTTTTTGCGACGGGAGTTCACAAGTATTTTTTTAAGTTTGTCCGGTAACGCAAAGCGCAAAGGTTGTGCTTAATAATATGCACTGCCACTGCCGCATGGTCAAGTTGCGCCAGCTATGGAAGAACAACAATTCACAAACACGAAATACGTAGGCCCTCCGAGATTCAAAGAGCGCCCCCACTAAGCCGGCTGTATTGATCATTTCAGTATGATTTTCGAAAATGGTGCCGAATCCGCGCGAATAATTTGCTGTCGAAGCTCAAGGACATGAATCTGAAATGAGTAATAGCACCGTGTTCGTAGCGAACGAGCTGCAGACCGCACGACGGTCACTTGATGGATTCCAGGTGGACTGCTTTCGGTGGTGCGGCCTGTGCACCAGCTTCTCCGCAGCGCATGGTTACTAGCGGCGTTGGAAAACAAGGGCTCTCATCTGCTACCTTAAGGTAGCATATACAGTGACCCTAGAGCACATCGCTGTTGGGTGATGCCTAGCGCTCATTTTTTGTGGACTTTCAACATCAGTTAAGGTAAAACTATAATTCTTTTTTTATGGGACAAAACCATGCTCGTTGCCGCCGATGTGATGAACGATCTTCACATTTGCGCCACAATCAGAAAAAAAAAAAATGTTTTCCGAGCGGTGAACAGTCCCTTAACGCAGCTTCACCACACAAAATAATAATATTAATAATGATACAATAAGATACAAATAAATAAAACTGCAACAATGACGATATTTTCGGTGTACCGCGGTTAAGTCAGATTAATAAGATAACCGCATGAATGGCGAACCGACTTAGTCCATCAGCGAGAACAGCAAATTTCCTTGTTTCTTTCGTTGTTGTTTTTTTAGAATTGTGGCGGCAACGTATTCGTAGGAGTGCTCTCGAGTTTTACTTTCAATTTCGTTTAAATGTCAGAAGTATCTCAATTTCGTTAATTGACTGTTCGCTCGCTGTGGTCACCGGGGTGCCTCATCGATCCTATCTCATATCTTTCACTTTACACGTACAACACATGCACCCCTTTCTGAATCATTCAGAGCGGTGAGAAAACCATCGCGCGTGAAAAGGTCACTGTGTGATGCTGGCAGCACTAAATTTAGAAAGGAACTTTTCAAATGAACGAAACGTAAGGTTCCACAGAAAGTTCTTCGTTTCCAATCGGCATGACAGGTGCGTGGTTTAGTGTGAAACATACGCCCGGGCCGGTAATCATGGCCAACAGGTTTGTAACTCCATGCCTGGCATAGCGCGCCGCTATCGGAGGAGTAGAATATAGAGGACAGAGTAGACCCTAGAAACTCTGGCTCATACACACACTGGGGGACTGGCCAAGAGCCGATTAGTTTTTAAAAAAGTGTGAGATTAAAGTTCAAATTCTGAATAATTAAGACATAATATGTACAATTGAACAAGAACAAAGAATACAATAAAAATAGAACAAATTTGAAGCATTGAGTCCCCAGAATTGGGGAAAAAAAGCAATTCTAAAAGTATAATTTAAACTAAACCTTTTTGAGCCTTCCGGTCATTCAACGATGACGTAGCTAGAGCACCTGCAATTTCATTTATACGTAGGCCCTCGTGCCCTGGAACCCAATTTAACCTGATTAAATTTATGGCAGTGGAACCAATGATTTGAAAGTATTGACACGTACGTCTCTTAATTTGCTGTGGGGAACGAACGTACCGACAGCAAATTCCTCAAAATTATTGTGGAGCTTATACTGATGCTGATAATTAACGCAGAGCTAGAATGACCGCTGAGAGTTCTGCTGCAAAGATGAGCTGAAAATGGGGAAGACGAAGGGAAAAACGGCCATTTTAGAGTAGGAGAGAAAAGCGCAATTCCACATTTTTCTTCACTTTGTGAATCATCCGTCTAGACATATGACGTACTGTCTCTATTGCCATATATAGCGTTAAAGTGGTGCTAGGTTAGTTTTACATCGTTTTTCTTTAATGTGATCAAACTGTATTCTGACGGAATCGTTGCAATTATACTTATTATACACATCTCATTAATTTGAAAGCGTTACTTCGTTGCTTGTATCACAACATCTTGCAGAACCTAGCGACCATGAGTGCAAAAAAAATAGTAAATGCAGCCATCGCAGGTATGCCGGTCGATGCGTAATTGTAGGCGCCGTTCTCCGATATATGACGCTCTGTCGACCGTAGGCTTGGTCAACCGCCCCAGAAATGCTGATAGATCAGTCCAGGTGATTTGTCATTCCGCGTTTGCGCATTGCATCGTCGCCTGGATATGAACCCCCGACAGTCGTTGTTGCCTGTAAAGTGATGCGCTTGTTGTGCGCTAGGGTAAATAGATGGGAGAGAGCATTGTGCAATGTGAGAGAAAGAAAAGTGCTGTACGTCAAGCACGCAGATGCAAGCAAACCATCGCTATGGCCCCCGCAATTCTCGTGATAGGGTTCGGTGGCTTTTAAAAGTATGTCATGATCGTTGAAAACAACTCTTCCGTGTTACTCTCAAGTGACGCGTTGCTAAAAAAAGTTCACTAATGTTTGTGCGTAATTAACTGCCACTTATATGCTCTCGCCGTGCTCTCACTTGAAATCAATAGTTTCGCGAAGGATCCGTTGCTCGAAGCAAATAAAGTTGTTGAATCAACACAGAAGGGCAGCAATATGGCTGTTGGCTGGATTCGACGAAGTTTGTCCTCGCGCACAGCACGATCGAGATACACATCTAATTATCTTCTACACATGTACAGTGTTGCTTCCGTAGTTGTAAGCTTTGGCGCGTATTCGTGCTGCCATCGTGCAGTGCCATTGTTGTTTACTGCTGTCAGTGAAATATTAGTGCCCCCCAGCTGAATGAAGGCAGCGGACGATTAATACAAACGAAAAATGCTTCGTCGGGCCACCATTCCTCGGCGGTCCCGCCTAGGAAACCACTTTATTCGAACGTTTTAATCCCCTTCGCTGCTTTTTCTCGTGTTTCCGTTTACTTCTTCCCTCTTTTTGCGCGGTTGTTTGAATCCTCGCCGCCCGGGACCGTCCGTCTCCGCGACGCGTCTTCTACATTGTTTTTCATTAGCATTTTTTGTCCTCCTCGCTTTTGTCCGATGAGAGCCGCAAAGCCGTAGAGCGGTAAAAGGTCGCGTGTCAACAACCTCGAAAGATGTAGGAATGTGGCGGCTCCTATTGCCATCTTTTGAAGCAATTGGCGCTGCCCGGTGCGGCGCGTTCGGTTCTAACGTGACGTTGAAACCTTGCACTGACGTCACGAAAACGCTCTAGGTGCAGGGTTTTTTTCACGTTGTTCTCTTAATCGAAAGCAGCGCAGCGTCAGGAAAAAATGAAATCGAACGCGCCGGTTACCAGTTGCGAAACGGGATTGGCTCGCGCCCGCTAGTTGGTTGGACCAATAGTGAGCGCCGCTGCATTCCATCGTTCAGTTGCCCGTAGGCCTAGCCAGAGCCGTTCACGTTGTTACCGGCGTCTCTGTGACTTGCGCGTTTCGCCATAACGCGCTCCTTTCTTTCATTGTTCGACGAGTTTTCAAACGGTCGCAAGCTATCCTTCGTTGCTCGGACGCATTCGGTGTGCATGGCGCGCGGATTGGATTATTAGCGCCTACCTGAAGCCGTCGTCTTCACAGCGACGTTTTGACTCGCGCTTGGCGCGCAACGCTACACACTCAACCGGGCGTCCCCCACCCAATGGAACAAACCGGCAAGAGGACCGACAAGAAGAGAACGCACAAAGACGGCACCCCGGGGGAACCTGAGGAGTTCATCGTTGAAAAGATACTCGACCGGCGCGTGAGGCAGGGCAAAGTCGAATACCTGCTCAAGTGGAAGGGATACGGTGACAGCGAGAACACTTGGGAACCTGAGGAGAACCTCGACTGCCCGGGTCTCATATCGCAGTTCGAAGAGAAGCGCAAGCAGAAGGCCGAGTCACAGTCGACCAAGATGAAAGACGACGCCGACGCCCCGAGCCGCAAGAAGAAAAAACAGGACGGCGACGCCAAGCCACGTGGGTTCGACCGCGGCTTGGACCCGGACCGAATCATTGGAGCCACCGACTCGTCCGGTGAACTGATGTTCTTGATCAAGTGGAAGGATTGTGACGAGGCTGACATCGTGCCCGCTCGAGTCGCAAACGTCCGCTGCCGCAGGTGGTGATTCTTTCTATGAAGAGCGTCTCATTGGGACACTTGCGGCGGGCGAGACGAAGACACCTCCGACAAGGCGGCCAAGGCTTAGCAAGCTCGGAGGGGAAAAACAAAATGCCCGCCATTGACCATCCACCGGCTGCAAATTAGC